ATAATAATGGCCCATTAATATATAAACAGTAGAAATAATATACCATTCTCTTTAAAATATTTCTGCAGTACTTGGTTCCTTGTGCAAACTGTTTGTGCAAGTCTGTTCTAAACTAGGTTGCTTTTAAGGTTTTTTAGATATACAGATTTAGACAGGTTAAATTTATTAACTAACTGCGCCTCATTGGTCAAGATGTCTTCAGCTGCATGATAGTCTTAATTAATAGTCGATTTATGTACATTATAACTTTTACATATACAGTATTGCTTGGTATGTGCCAATAGGCAAATGTGAACTAATACAGTGCCAGATGCAGTTTATCTTTGGAACTATGATATGGCAGAAATATGTAAAACTAAATGTTCCAAAAACCTGTTATCAAATAAAATAAAAATTTGAGATGGTGTTGAAAATCTTTTTTTTTTTCTTGTTTTATGGATGTTTTAAATTTGAATAGGGTATATTTCATATTGATTTGACTACAGTACACAAGCAAATGTACTGTACTTAGTGTGTTTGCTTGTTTATTTATATTCCACTCACTTGGAAATGTTAGGGTGATTTTTTTACAGAGCTCCTGGTGATCTCCCACTGAGTCCCATGCTTACTTACTTGCAAGAGCAATAAAAAAATGGATTCTGCCAAACCATTCAGCATTGTTCTTTTGAGATTTTGTAGCCTTTAAGTAGAATCATATCTGAAAAGTTTTCTTCCACAATGTACAAGTATTAGCAACCACTGGTGGAAGGCCACAAAAGCCACAATTTTGTACAGTTTCAGTATCCGAAACTTATTAGAAACAAGCAAATCTTGTGGCTTCTCATTTGCCAAAGACTAATATGCAATTATGCTTTTTTCCCCTGTTCTACTTAACAAGGTCAAGATATGTTCCCATACTTCTTATATTCATCAAATCCTTCTTTACCTGTAGTTGAGGAGAAGGATTTTTCCCCTTCAGAAGAAATGGGTGTGCCTTTATGAATATAAAAAGGGTGACTGAACAAATTAGAGAATATTGTTCTTTCCCTATTTTAAGATCAGAATCCAGGTTACATATAAAGTGGGATAATCGATGGTCTTTCAAAAAGCAGAAATGTATTATGAGTTTTTTTTACATATAAGGCAGCTAAACATGTTAAAGCAAGGGGGAATATATTTAAATCATATGAGAAGTGAAGAAAAGTAAAATAATGGAGTGGGGAGGCAGAAAACATAGAAAATAGATATTGTATATTGTTTTAAGGATGAGGAGCATTAGGCACTGTGAAGAGTGCAGGGACAACCATGGGTTTCCCTTCCCCTCCATAGACCAGGCTGACCCCCTCCCTTCTGTTCTTCTATCACTAGACAATAACATACCTTTCCAGGTAGGCTTTTAACATGTAGACTACTGCTGAGGAGTCATTTAAGGGGAGAAGTGTTCCTTTATCTTTTAAAAATATTTTTCAGCTTGGTTTCTTGGGATTTTAGCTATAATATACAGTAGTTATTTTTATTTTTTTTAAAAAAATGTTATTTTTAAATTTGCAAAATTTTTATGTTTGTATTTTTACACCTTGTATCCCAATACAGGGTAAAAGACATGGGTAGAAATTAAATAAATAAATAAAATGAACATTGCTGAGAAGTGTCAGGTAGCAGGCTTGATGCAGTTGAGAAGAGAGCCAGATCAGATTCAGATATGCAGATTCAGAGGTCAACACCAGCTCAACTTCATCTTCTTTTGAGTGGATCTAGACCTTATATAGCTAGACATTCCATAAATGATTTACAAATCTGGACAGGGTCTGTAGATAACTAATGGGGTTCATGAGGACTAGGAGAAAAAAGAAGCAAGGTCAGAGAGAACAGTGCACAATATAAAGCAAAGAAGAAAAGGAACACAGCTTGCAGGCTGAGCTGACCTGCTGAAAGTAAACTTTGCTTTCCAGTTCAGTGAGTAGCAGGAGAGGCAAGGCAATCTTCAAGGTCTCATCCATCTTTTTATCCTTCTGTGTGAGTGGCATGTTACATAAACCATAGACTCTTTTTTCTTGAAGAAGAAGCAGAGGCAGGAGGGCAGGTATGTTTGAGTAGACATTTTAGTGAGGTGTTTTTTTCTGGGCTGAGCTTTGTTTTCCCTGACCACATCGTCTGAGGGGGTGGGGTTTAAGCTTTAAATGAGGGTGAGCAGAAGCTCCATGCCCTTTTCTTGAAGAAGAAATAAGCTTTAAATGAGGGTGAGCAGAAGCTCGAAGCCCTTTTCTTGATGAAGAAGCTAAGGCAGGAGGGCAGGTATGTTTGGGTAGACATATATAAAAACTATTGTGGGTTAATGTGGATCATGTTAATAACATGCAAATTCAGTGGACAAATCAGCACTAATATAGATTCATCAGATGCTACTAGCTTAGTTGAAACTCCCTCCAGTCCAAGTGATGTGCTGAGTTACACTGTTTTTGTTTTTTTTTTAAATAAAGAAAACCTGATGTATGCGAGGATTCTCAGGAATGATACCCTGAACAACAGGGGACATTTCTTGCTGTAATCCTTCAAATCTTTAATTGATATGCTGAGCACATAAGATGATCATAATGAAATCTTATACATATGAATGTAGGTCACATTAGGTAGATACATGTAGGAATGATTCAGCATAAATAAAATAAAATAGGCATTTGATCTGTAGAGGTGAATCATCATATCACCTCCAGCATGACTCAGATTCACCTATTCTATTGTGAATAATCAAATGAAAAGAGATCCAGGTATGCATTTTTCTTTATATGTACTTTGCCCAGGTTTCCATACATCGTTCATTTTAAATGTTGAGCCTGCACATACTGTTGCTGAGATTTCCTTCAGCTAAGTGATTTCCAGTGTGGTATAGTGGCCAGAGTGAAGGACTAGGACTCTGTAGAACAGGGTTCAAATCCCCTCTTGGCCATGGAAACTCACTGAGGAACTGGAACTGGTAAAGGTACTCCTTAAACATCTCACTTACTTAGAAATCTCTGTTATAGTGGCTATATTGGTTTTGACTTGACAGCACAGAACACAAGCAAGTGTTTCAAGCCGGCTTGATACCTCAGTGAGTTAGCTAACTGGCTGCAGAGTTTGATCCCCATTTCAGGAGAAGGGACAGTCTGTGTAGCTTTGGGCAAGGTGCAAAGTCCCAGGTTGCCCCCAGAAGAGGGGAATAGTAAACTACTTCTGAGTACTTAGAAAATGGCAAAAAGGGTTGATATAAGCCAGAAATCACTTGATGACACACAATTATTATGTTATTAAAGGTTTTTTTATGGATAGTCTGGCAGAAATATCCCAAATTCTTAGAAAGAGTATTTGGTCTACATAGAGGGAGTTTTATTTAAAACAAACTTAATTCCATTGGTTTGTTCATTTAACATTTATATGTGATCTTATAACCTTATACTCAACATGCCTTACAGTGCAGTCTGAAATCAAAGATGTGCTGGCTGTAGTGAGCTTGGAATGAATAGAAAGTTCTTGTGGATAGAAAGCTTTTGTGCTGGCAGATCTCAGAGACCTACTAACAGAAGGATCTTCCAGCACAACAGCTGTGCTGGCTAAAACAGGCAGTAGAAAGAAAGAAAGGGAGGAAGAGAGAAAGAGAGAAAGAGCATTTCCACAGAAAATAAGAAAGCTAACTCTCCTAAACTACTAGCATAGAAACAAAACTTCTGCATAGTTTCAAAGCATGTACAGAACAGCAAGACAGCAGGTCAGCATAGCATTCTCCTCAGAGAAACTAGACTACCATCCAGACCTTTTGAGTGTCTTTAAAAAATCAAGTTCCAACCACCCTGAAATTTCCAGAAGGGAGTAACTTTTGCTAAAGCAACTTCACTCCTTCCCCCTCCCTTTTCTCAGCTGAAAACAGTTCTTCAATAATTAGCTTGGTACAAGAAGCAAGTGTTTTATGACCTTGAAAAGTCCTTCTCTCATATAGATAAGATAAAGTTGGTAAAAACCTCTCAGTTATCAGGAAATTTCTCTTCTTTTCCCCTGGCCTACTCTTACCTACCACAAGCTAACAGGCCCAAGTTTCAAAGGTACTAAGACCACCATCCCTTCCTTCTGCCAGTCTCTTAACACAGACATCCCTGGGTAGGGAGCAGTTTAGATTCAACACAGCTTCCACTGGCCTCTTAACTATCTTGGCTAGTTAGGATTTCACCCTTATGTTATTAAGCACAAATTTAAAATTTATCCAAATACAAGCAGCAGCCATTTAAAATTGTGAAGGTGAAAAATTAAAGTTGGAGCAGATTCCAAGGCTGGTAAATAAAATCCTCAAGGGATGTGGTGGCGCTGCGGGCTAAACCGCAGAAGCCTTTGTGTGCTGCAGGGTCAGAAGACCAGCATCGTAAGATCGAATCCACATGACGGAGTGAGCTCCCGTCACTTTGTCCCAGCTCCCGCCAACCTAGCAGTTCGAAAGCATGTAAATGTGAGTAGATAAGTAGATAAATACCTCAGTGGGAAGGTAAACAGCGTTCCGGGTCTAAGTCGTGCTGGCCATGTAACCACGGAAGATTGTCTTCGGACAAATGCTGGCTCTACGGCTTGGAAACGGGGATGAGGACCGCCCCCTAGAGTCAAACACGACTGACTAAAATGTCAAGGGGAACCTTTACCTTTAAATAAAATCCTCAAGCAGTTGGTATTTCCCCCCTCCTCCTCTTGCGCTCAGCTAACACCAGGGGTCTTGGCTGGGTTTGGGTTAATTCTTTCTTATTGCCAGCCTCTGCTACATTGCTCATGCTGCTGAGAAAGTTGTCCCAGCTCCTTCAGAGGCACTCTGGGCTTTTTAGAAAGAAGGAAGCAAAAGGGTTGGTTATGGAAGCCATCTTCATTGGCACAATTGATTGATATAATCTGATTTTGTCTCCCTACAAGGAAAGTGTATGATAGTGTGAAGACTGTACTTGTGGGATCAGAAGGTGTTTTTTGTTAATTCCTTTCTCGCCATTTCACCCCCTAAATGCCATACTCACCCAATCCTGAAGGGTTGTCCAACCATCTAGAGCAGATTTTCAGAGGCTCCAAGCCTTCTACAAGAATGAGGAAATCAGTTTGAATATAATGGCTTTATCCCTACAGTAAGCTTCACCCTTTGTCTGATTAACTCCACCCTATTCAGTATTATACTTTTTGGGCAAACTTCCCATTCAATTATAGAGCTAGCATTTCTATCTGCATCCTTATTGCAGATTCTGTTCTTTATTCAGCCACCACCCCCCTTTCCCCTTTCACACAGTTCTAATCCTCTTCTGGTAAACCTGGTTGTAATCATCCTCATTACAGCAGTATTACTTTGATAGAGAATGAACAATAAAGACAAGAGTCATTAGGATTCACAACTATAAAACTGCTGAAGAGGCGTCTTTACCATCTAAGAGTCACGGGGGGTGGTGGTGGTTGGGGATGAGGATGAGGGAGAAGTTTAAGAAAAGACAAGAAGAGGCGTCTTTACCATCTAAGAGTCACCACTGGGGGAGGGGTTGGGGATGAGGGAGAAGTTTAAGAAAAGACACAGCAAGAAATACTTTGCCCTGGTCTGATGTCTAGGAGAAAGTCTAAAAAGAAGTGCTTGTATAAATACAGGAAAAAACTTTGTGTTAGATCAGTACAACAATGGAGCCAATTATCTTGGGAGGTGGTGAGTGTTCCAACATAGAGGCATTCAAGAGAAAATTGGGCAACTGTCTGTCAGATATACTTTGATTTGAATTCCAACACTGAGCAGGGGGTTGGACTCAATGTCCTCATGGCCCCAACCTAATTATTCTCGTGGTCGTTTGTATAAGATACCTCCACCTGACTCCCCCCCCACTCCTTAAGACACAGTCCCCACTTTTAGAATTAAGATCTTTCTGTTTGTACAGGCATGAGATGCAATCACATGTGTGCAAATCACATACTCACACTTCGTTTTGAATATTTGAATGTTATGTGACAAAACTCCCTCCATTCCTCATCCTAGTCCTACATACACAAATCTATCTAATCATGAAATGTCAGTTATGAAAGTGGAAATAGGTTGCATTAAAATGAGCCTGATTTACTTCCTGACAATGAGGATAGAATTAGTTCTAGTTATACCTTTTGCCTCTATAATGTGACTGGAATCATAGTCAACAGGATGGGATGGTGCTTTGTTTTTGTTTTTCCCTGGCAGTGTAAATGATTGCTTTTCTTGGGTTAAGGAAAAGCAAAGGGGAAAAAATGGAAATTAGACCTACCCTTCTACTTACAAAAGTTACATTTGCTTGACACTGAAACACAAACAACTTGCCTTTTCTTAACAGAATTGCTTTCCAAACACTATGGTAAATGTGTTTCGTAAGGAATTCTATCAAATGTATCAGCAAAGAAGGATTTTATACCATTTTCCCCCATCAGAATTACTGCCATTGCCTACGAATTTGTAATCAGTCACTTTCAGTTAAAGGATGAAATGGAAGAAGAGATCAGTTGGTATGACCACAGAAAATAAAAGCAAGCTTTTTATGGATGCACCCCAGAAATTCAGTGTGGTTTACTTTCAGCTATCTAAGAAATAACCAGTTACCTTCTTTAAATTCTGTATTTTCTAGTGTACTCCTGAAAACATATAAATTTGGCCTTTGGCAAAGGGCTGGACTTGATGGGATCCTTCCAGTTCTAGTCTTCCATGATTCAATGGATCTGGTGTACTCTGTATAGGTTGGATTTCCACTCCCTTAAGTTAACAAGAAACCACATGTGGTCTAGCACATCTGGAAGGTACAGTACCAGGTTCAGAAGACTGTTGTATATGATGCAATGTCTGAAGTAGTAAAATGAAATGAGAACACAATATGGCTGGAAATCACTACTAAACTTATCAAGTACAAAAAGATTTAATTCAGTCCCCTATGTCTGGTCCGCTGCTGAGTTCTTCGGCAGCATGGAGCCACCATTGTCCCATTCCCAGGATAACGTAAGACTGGGTAAGCTTGCAAAGATAAATGAGAGGATGGGGGGGGAGTATTTAAGCCAAGACTCCTCCTACCTTCTGCCTCTTCATTTTCAGCAGCCCACTCACCCACCCAGAATCCTAATGTGAGTTTTTCTGGTCACCTGTTTTGGGGCCGGATAGGAATTTTTGACCCACATGCTGATTGGCCCATGGAAGCGGGGATTTTTTGCCTATCCCACACTGGACAAGGTGTGTTGGCATAATGAGTGGTGGTCCAAGGTCACACAGGTGGGTAGTGGGGATATAACAGGGTTCAGTGAGTCCCCTCACAAATACAGGCAAGGTACAGCTCATCTGATCTCCCAGCGCTGTGGATTGTGCAACTGAAGTGCTTGGGGGAGAAGATCTGCTGGGGCTGCTCCCGGACAAACAGTCAACAAGAAGAAGGAGTCTTGAGGTCTGGGGGTGGTCAAATTGGGGCCAGCTGCGTTCTCGCTGTCTTCACGACTGCGAGATCTTGGGGCTCGGGACTCACCCATAGTTTGGTAGGGGTCTGCTGAGACACCTCTGCAGAACCTCATTCCACACTACAGCAGGACCCCCCTTTTTTGTTTGAGGATAAATATGAATATTAAATAAAGTGTGGTTCATGTTTATTCCATAACAGTTGTCTTGTGTCTTATTCCGGGGTAAGGGGACAATGAAACAGCAGCAAAACTACTGAAATAGCCTTATAAGCAAAATCTGACAGTTAAAAAAATCAATTTTAATTTTCTTGTTTTATGAAGGAATCAGGCACCAGGATATTATTTTACACACCCAACATCTTTGGCCATTACTAAGTACGCATTCTTTTTCCAACTGTTTTAACAGTTGGAAACAATTCACAACTTGGGTGTTTCAAGGATGCCAATGTGATAGCAGTCATATTACTGTGTTGGGATATAAGAAAGTAATCCTGTGTGACCCTCCAAGCAGAGCTGATATGTCTCTTATAGGCTAGCTACACATCTACCTGTACATGTTACAGGCTAACTAAAGATGAGCCCATAATGTTTCAGTATCGTCTGTTGCCTCAGGAGTGGGGAAAACAGTGTAGAGCAGAAATTTTGTTGTTGTTTAGTCGTTTAGTCGTGTCCGACTCTTCGTGACCCCATGGACCAGAGCACGCCAGGCCCTCCTGGCTAAGATTGAATCCAGACAATATGGAGCCCCTCTGGGTGGGAGCTCCTGTGGTTTGTGGATTAGGTCACTGGTTCTTAACCTTGGGTTACTCAGGAGTTTTGGACTGCAACTCCCAGAAGCCTTCACCACCAGCTATCCTGACTGGGGTTTCTGGGAGTTGCAGTTCAAAAGCATCCGAGTAACAAAGGTTAAGAACCACTGGATTAGGTGACTCCCTTTCTTTTGGGGGGTCCATTCTCTCCACCAAGGATGAGATTTGCAGTCTGGGCCTCCTTCTGGACCCAGCCTTATCGGAATCTCAGACAGAATCTGTGGTCCAGTCACCCTATTTTCATTTCGGATGAATTTTATTGAACCTCATCTAAAATTGCTCCCTGGGGCTTTTTATATGCTTTTATTGCTGTCTGGACACAATATAGATACAATGTGGCAAATTTTTTTGCAGCTGCTGTTAAAATCCGTGAAAGGAAGGTTTTAAAAATTACTTGATTTTGGTTATTAGTGGAAACCTAAAAGGGAGACTAAGATAGTATAATGTATTACAGTACTTTGTTAGGATGATTTTAACTTAGTACATGTTTTTATGTGTGTGTTTTACCTTTTATTAACTTTGTATGTGTATTTATACATGAATTTTACTGGGTTTTGTACATTTACTTCTATGTTTGGATATTGGTCTATGACCGTATTAAACTTGATCTGATCTGACTTTCTCCTTCTTTTAATTCCTGTGTCTTCTCTCATGAACCATTACCGAACCATCCAGCTGCAAGGAAAGAATATACAATGTTCTCCATCAGTCAGGAGTTAGCAGAAGCCTCTAATCCCCATTTCAAAGATCTGTCTGTCCTCACTGACACACCAGCATCAGGGACTGATCAGGTACTTTGAATCTATAATGAAGGTGTAAGAGTACAGTATGTTCTCCTGAAGGGCTAACAAATAAAAAGCCCGCATTAAAATCCAGATCTATTTTAGTAAAGATGTGTACTGTCTTATGAGAAATGTTTAAATGCACACAGAATCAGGGCTTTTTGTGCATTCCCAACAACAGGGCAGAGCAAGTAGCCTCTGGCTACCCACAAGACAGAACAGGACACTGAATTGATGTTCATTCTGGTAGTGTTGGTGATGAAGATGGAAAAAGAAAACTGATATGCCAAATGGGGAAAGCTAAATCAAAACCACTTCACAGTACCAGGAAGACTGAGCTGACAGCAGAAGATCAGTGTTTGAATCACCAGTACCACTTCACAGTACCAGGAAGACTGAGCTGGCAGCAAAGGAGAAGAAGATCAGTGTTTGAATCACCAGTAAACTTGACTCAACACCTCAGCTGCTGAGGCAGAGTCTCTGAGCCAAGTCTCCAGGTTGTAACAGCCACTCCCCAGGGTTTTCTTCTTCTTCTTTGCACTATAAAATGGGGGACTTCGATTGATGAAGGATATTGACTTGGCTTTACTTGTCTTCCTGGGTTTTTAAGAGTTTTTTCAACAGGACTGAATGCACATGTGTACCGATAAATGGCTGCAGTCTTGCGGTTCAATTTGAGATGGAGAGTTCTGACTAAATGCAATCCACCTGGAGCAGGAACTGGCAAGCCACTCCAGTATCTTTGCCAAGAAAACCCCATGGACAGATGCGCCAAATACCGTACAATTACACTCATTTCACACACTAGCAAGGTTATGTCAAAATCCTACAAGGTAGGCTTCAGCAGTATGTGAACTGAGAACTCCCAGAAGTACAAGCTGGATTTCGAAGGGGCAGAGGAACTAGAGACCAAATTGCTAACATGTGCTGGATCATGGAGAAAGCCAGAGAGTTCCAGAAAAACATCCACTCCAGCTTCATTTACTACGCAAAATCCTTTGACTGTGTGGACCACAGCAAACAATGACAAGTTCTTAAAGAAATGGGACTGCCTGACTACCTTATCTATCTCCTGAGAGACCTATATGTGGGACAGGAAGCAATAGTTAGAACTGGATATGGAACAACTGATTGGTTCAAAATTGGGAAAGGAGTACGACAAGGCTGTATATTGTCCCAAAGCTTATCTAACTTATATGCAGAATACATCATACGGAAGGCTGGACTGGAGGAATCCCAAGACAGAATTAAAATTGCCAGAAGAAATAGGAACAACTTCAGATATCCAGATGATAGCACCCTGATGGAAGAAAGTGAGGAGGAATTAAAGAACCTTGTAATCAGGGTGAAAGAGGAGAGCGCAAAATATGATCTGAAGCTCAAAATCAAAAAATCTAAGATCATGTCCACCGGTCCCATCACCTCCTGGCAAACAGAAGGGGAAGATACAGAGGCAGTGACAGATTTTACTTTCTTGGGCTCCATGATCACTGCAAATGGTGACAACAGCCCCAAAATTAAAAGACGCCTGTTTCTTGGGAGGAAAGCGATGACAAACCTTGATAGCATCTTAAAAAGCAGAGACATCACCTTGCCGACAAAGGTCTGAATAGTCAAAGCTATGGTTTTTCCAGTAGTGATGTATGGAAGTGAGAGCTGGACCATAAAGAAGGCTGATCACCGAAGAATTGATGCTTTGAATTGTGGTGCTGGAGGAGGCTCTTGAGAGTCCCCTGGACTGCAAGGAGAACAAACCTATCCATTTTGAAGGAAATCAACCAGCTCATGGGAAGGACAGAGCCTAAGCTGAAGCTCCAATACTTTGGCCATCTCATGAGAAGAGAAGACTCCCTGGAAAAGACCCTGATGTTAGGAAAGGGTGAAGGCAAGAGGAAAAGGAGTCAACAGAGAATGTGATGGATGGGCAGTGTCATCGAAGCTACTAACATGAATTTGCCCCAATTCCGGGAGGCAGTAGAAGACAGGAGGGCCTGGCATGCTCTGGTCCATGGAGGTCACAAAGAGTCAGACATGACTTAATGACTAAACAACAATAGTTGGGAATCACTGCACTAGAAACTAGTAAAAGAAATATGTTGGATCATCCATGAGCCATTTACGGCATTTCACCAGTTTGATAATTATCAGCTGGAAAAGATAAAAGAGTTGGGTAAAATCAAAAGAAAATTACTTGAGCAGTCATTAACAATCTATTCATCACAATGTACTATTTAATGTAATTATGGCAAACTTTTTTTAAAAAAATAATAATTATGGAACTTTGAAGTTTCTTTTAATCATTTTGGGAAATAAAAATCTGGCTGCTTTGTTTTTCTAGCTGGAGATGAAATTACTGGGGTATACTGTATAAAGCAGGAAGTAAAATTGCGAACATAAAATAATTTTAAAATATTAAATATTTAATGGCTCTAATGCCCTTTGGCATAGCAGAAGTAGAGATATATCACCATAATATATGTCTACTGGCATTTTACAAGCTTACCATTAATGTCTCATCTTTCATCAAATCAACATTTTTATAAATTATGGCTTTTATTATGAGCTACGATTCTGGTGCACTAAATAAAACTCAGTATTACAATACAAATAGTGATATGAGTCACAACTAATGACCTTGCTAGATTCCTACTCCCCGATGATGGCTACAACAGTAGTGGTTTTTCAGTACTGAAGGGCAAAAGTTTTAGATCTGTTTAGCTTTTAATGTTGTGTTTTTAATGATGTAAGCCATTTTGGAGAAAGGCAGGGTAAAGGTATTTAAATAAAATAAAATAAATAAAGATGAAATG